ATGGGGCAGTGGGGGTTGATGCTGGTTTCGTAACGTCGAGACAAGCTCGGAGAGTGTGTGTCGGCTAGATGTAACTTGAGTCTCGAGAGATCGTATTCGTCTGTGGGCAAGTGCGGTGTTAGCTCGGTCGTAGAAAAGAGAAAGATGAACCGACCCGAGGCCCTGCTCAGCCGCGGCGCTGACTTCCCGCGCGGGTTTCTCGAACACGCACTCGATGCGGGCATGCCGACGCGTTTGTACGGCGGGTTGTCGGCGCCTTCGCAGCGCATTTTTTGCTTGCGGCAGGTATTCTACAAAATCATGAGCAAAACCACCGGGCATCGCACACGCGACTCACCGAGATCGGCCGGACAATAGCACGAGGTTTAGGAGCGCCGGGGACTCGGGCGTAGTAATAAGCTTCCCCGAGGTATCCAACAGCAGCCGAGTTACGATCGGAGAAAGTCGGGTAGAGGCAAAATTAGCCGCCCGGCGCGACTTGGGCGAGGGTCGATCGGTGGCCAGCGACATAGTCGTCGGCACCACTTTCTGGTATCGCCGATGGGTCGAAACCGAGTTTTTCCGAATCCCGTGACCAGCAGGTGAGAATTCGGCGAGTCTGTTGTCTCGCGATACACCTCCTGCATAGATTTATCTTCCGATAACGGCGCTACGATCGTGCACGATTAATGTGTGGAATTCGTCAACTAACTAGTTACTTACCCACTGACCGCGCTAGTTAGTGCACACCCATGCACACAACGCAAAACATCAACGAGGAGAAACCTAGAAGCCCGCGGGGTGAGCGGCGTGATTACTATCCAACAGAATTGGCGGGGCGGAACACTCACGATGAACGATGGTTGACGGTGGGTCATGGGAGTAACCTCCGTTGACACGCCAGCTCGGGACGCCCGATGGTTACAACTCGGAGGTGCCGGAGCACCTACACATCGAGCACGCCAAAGAACCATGGCGCCGCTCAAACGGAGTGGACCCCCTACCGCAGATGATAAATTTTATTCTGTGGTAGGACGCGGTAGGAATCCATCGGGCTCACCTTGACGCCTGGTTGGCGTTGACACGGAGGGAACTGGCAGTGGTCGAAGGTCGCGGTGAGGGTGAGGGCGACGATGACAGAAGCGATGACGGCTGTGGCGAGTATGACGACGACGGCGGATGGCAGGACATGGAGGGGATTCGGGAGAGCGACCGGATGCAAGTGCAACGCACTATCCGGCCGCTTGATTGGCAATTGCCGCGATGCAACGTGCCCCAACCTCTCGACCAATCGGATCGCTGCCGACTACAAGCCAACCGATCTTCCATGATGTTCCATCTGCAGTCACAGCCCCCTCGCCTCGCTCACCACCCAAGTTGGGGCGTGTCTCAGATAAGTCCCCGGCGCTCGTACCCACAGGCCCACACCCACTCACTGTCATTCCCACGCTTGTAGTCAGCCATCTGGGCTCCGGGGTGCCCAGTCCGCCGCCGCTCCTCCCCCCAACCTCTTCCCGACCTTTACGTCTCATCTCGTCCGTCAACTACCCAAGCGAGCGGGCCATCTTAATGACAGTGCGGCCTCATTCAACAGACCTCGGCTTGACGGTCGAGTGCGCAGCCCGCTGCCTTGCAACTGTTGGCTTGTCCGGTGCCTTGCTCATGCGCCGAGCGTCGGACCTCGGTTAACAATCAGGATGCGCCGTTGCCCCACCCCCCTCCGTGTTGCCACCCCGGGTGGCTGCCAGATTTACGAGGATCAGTCCCCGCCCATGCTTGCCCACTCCCCACCGCCCCGGCGATCCAGCACGCTGCACCACATTGGCGTTTTTGACCCACACGGCCCGCTGATCCCAATGCGCTCTTACCTCGTCGGGTGGCGACGCGACCATTAGTACCCGTCCTGCTCCCTGTACGGCAGTATGTAACCCATATTCTAGATAATATGATTATTTTGTGCCTGTGAAACGATCACGTGTTTGATAAAAAGTACTATCTAGCGAAGATGGGGTTTCGCCCTGAGGAAAATTGTTGGATAAGTGGGAAAGTGAAGAAGGCTTCCGCAGCCTCTGCTTGAGAGGCAAAGACCGGATCGAAGTCTTTGTTCCCTCAACGTTTTCTCTGGGGGGCAGAGTTTTGGGAAAAGCCTCACCACTTATTCAGGATTTTCCGGCCACTCCTTTGTGTGCCCCTTTGTACTGGCTGGGAAATGATAAGCAGGTGAGGATTTACTCGAAATTATTGCCCAGAGGAGAAGGCGAAGGGAGGGGTGATTGTGAACTCAAAATTCTCTCGTGTGCGGAGGCTGCGAAAGTCACCTCCGCTATTCCACTTATTGGAAACTTTTCCCTGAAAAAAAACCCCGATCTCCGCCAGAGCTATCCCTGCAAACAAATCAAGCCTGGATGGTCTAGTGGTATGATTCGCCCTTAGGGACCCCGAATTGGACCTTGAATTTGAAATTGGGCGAGGCCCCCAGTTCGATCCTGGGTCCAGGCCCTCTTTTTCTTGTGCTCTTGAACTAGGTTGTTTCACTGATATGTACTACTGCCTATTGAGCACAAAGCTGCTGCACATTCTAGTGGTGGTACTTGCTTCCAGTTGGTGAAGGAGTTGGCGCTTGACATGGACCCCGAATTTCATGACTAAGCTTCAGACAGCCCATTTTTCAGATCGCGATTCACTCATTGTGTACTCATCAGCACCATGACTTTCCACACATTATGCAGGGCATGCCGTATACTTGACACCCATACATCAACTTTTGCTACTACCCGGTGCTCTGGGTGCCCACGACGTGTGGCCAACTCGGCGACAAATACTCGATCCCTCTACACCAGCTCACCTCGATACACGAGTACCGCCCAATGGTCCTCTGTTCAATTTGAGGCTCCAATTTGGTTGTCCCTAAGGGCGAATCATACCACTAGACCATCCAGGCTTG